CATGCGAGGCCAGTTGAACATAAATTATAAGCATCTGGATGATTGATAGGGGGTGCCGCTTTTTACAAGGGGTTCTTCACTTGTTTCGGGATTTGTATTGCAGGGCACGACTTTTGCGCCACACCCACTTTCAGAAACACCGGAGTGTCTCTTCACAATTGGCGGCTCCTCCGGGTGGGCCCTTTCCTCTCTTGAAACACCATCCAAACAAGGGTCCCTGATTTTCTGGGCGCCAAACAAAGGAACCTGGAAATTACACAATTGCTTTTGGGGAGAGACACCCACTTGGGGGTCCAAGCTCAGTCAAGTGGAAAAAGCCGCCTTTGCTTTGCCCCACGCCCGAGGCGCTACGCCCTGCAGGACCGCCACAGCGAGGCCGTTCCGATCAGCAAGGCCTCGGAAACCGATCAAAACCAGCTCGCCCATCTCTCGTCAAAAGGCAGCCAGCTTGTTTCAGCCCCCAATCAGTTTGTGGGGCCGATCGCGGGTGCAAAACCAAAGTTGCCTCCTTTCGGCCTTTCCTTGAAAGGGCTCCACAGTAGAGGTACACAAGCCAAGTTTGCAAACCGATGTGCAAAATCGAAGTCCCTCCGCCCCCACACCCACACACACACATGGTTGTGCACATGCCCCTTTCCAAAGGAAAAACATCCTGCAAAAGGGCTCGGTGCATTTCATCCGGCAGGCAAACCACTGCTGGAACTCTGCCATCTTCGTTCACCCTTTTTTGGGGCCTGCAGCGCACAAACCTCCCCGGACATGGCCTCTCAGCTGCTGTTGGACCAGTTGCCAAGTGACCCTCTCCATGACCCTGGTAGACTAAGGGAGAGCCCATTGAGATGACGGCAAAACTATCTGAACAGAGCGACGGGAGAATCTAGATGTCTCAGAAATGCACGAATTGGGCCAAGCAAAGCTTGTAGCAATTGTTTGTGCCGAATGCCTTTCTTGAACTATATTTACCACCGCAAAATCGACAACTTTGTTTGGCACCACCCATCAGGGGCAAATATAGAGAGCACTCCCATGGACATCTTGGGTCGAGGTGCTGATGGCATCAGTGATGCTCAGCATACCTTGGATCGTCACGCGACAGAATCGTTAGCTTGAAATCCGCCCATCCGTGTCCTTGCCTCTCAGCTTCTTGCATGAACGGGAGAACACGCCAACTCACAAGCACAATTCACACCCAAACCAACACGACGCCCAAATGCACTGCTAAGATGATGCCCATTGGTGCCAACAATCGCTGAAGTGGACACGGGGCCCTGTGGAATGTGGCGGCAGTCCGCCAAAACCCGCCGCTGCACCTCCACCTTTCGTAGAAGCGCACTGAATATATTTGAGGGCAAACAAAGTATAAGAACGTAGAGACGCACCAATTGTCACAACCTCACAAACCTCAGCCAAACATCAAAACCGCTATCCACTAACCCCCCCCATGTGGCAGCCGAAGCAATCAACAGCTTGACAGCTCAAGAAGCAAGGCTATCTTTTGTAATTATTGGTGTAACGGGGTTGGCCTCCACTAAAAAAATGCACAAGTTGTCTGGCTGAGCTCACCTATGGTCTGGCAAAAAGAACGCACTCATGAAGGCCCTTTGCTTTTTCTGAGTTCCTTACTTCTTTGTGGACTATTGTAACACAGAAATCTGGGTGTGCCTCTCTTTGACAGCACTCTCTTTGGGCGCTAACCCGGCCATTTATGGCCAATGAGGTTCCAATCTGCAGCCCAAGCGCTCGAAGCACCCACGTTGGTGCCCGGGCACAGCAGCCAGAGCGGCAAAGTTCGGTTCACCTGCACCAACGGGTATTCCCTATCTTTCCCTTTCACTCCACGACAAAACTCACTTAAGTGGCCCCAAACCGCGATCTTTGAAACCAAGAGCAAACTTTGGAACCCAGAATCAGTGGGAACTCACTGAAACGTCCAAAAGATCTATTGACATCCCAAACAACTCACTTGGTGATTAACCCTGCTTGAAACCTGTTCAACTTGGTTCCCAAATGTGATATTTAATAACACCCTATGGAAAACATTAAGATTTGTGTCTCAATCCTCCCACATTCCCATGGTAACCCCTCCTCTGGTACTTCCATTTACTATGTTGGTAATTGACCAAGGAAACCTTCATTTCAACACCAAAAGACAGGTCTAGCTTAGGGGTTCATTGTCTACATCCCAAAAAGGTGACTCAAACACAGGGGTGAGGCTGGCCTTAGAGTTGCCCCAGAAGGAAGGTCCATGGATCGGTTAAAAGGCGACCTCCGTACAAACGAAGCTTGAAAGAAGCCAACGATTCCAGATATTGATTGGAAGGGATAGCCCGAGGGGAATGCAGGCAGCTCCCAGCCAGGGTGCCAGCCAAATCAATATGCAAACCTGTGCGGAACAGTCAATGACCAGCACTCCCACAAGCGCACCAGCTGCTTTCATCTTTGGCCCACCACAAACATGGCTGGTCGATCTTCAATGAACCTTGAAATGTTGCATGATCTTAGGATCAACAAAAAGTCCCCCTCCCCCCTATCTCTTCCAGCTGGCAACACTGGCATGTGGCCCCTTGCCATCCCCGGCCCGCCTCGGGAGCCTCAAGTACACGACACAGCAAGTCCGACCAAAAGAGAGCCAAACAACAAGCCCGCTCACCTGGAAATCAAAGGTTAACCTTTCGGGGCCTTGACTAAATGTGGACCAAAACGGAGTGGATTATTCTGCGAATGCGTAGGAAACTCGCAACTTGAGTGCCCATGCAAAGGCTTGCAAAAGGTTCTTCCAAGTCTGAAATACACATCATCAAACCTAAGTATGTGCCAAACCATGCCAAACCACAGTGCCACGCACATGTTTTCCGAGGTCATAACATAAAGACGGCATGTGTCACACGCCTCCAACAATTTGCGAAGCTCAAACCGTTCAGGTGCAGCAAACGTACAGACAGCTGAGTCCGCATCGTACAACAAGTAGAGGCGCTCGATGCCGTCTTGAAGCCTTGCGCCCGAGCCCAAAACCTAAAATGCCAAATCGTCAAAACGGTAGGCCAAATCAGATGGTATCGCTGGCATCACCACCCTCCAGGCAAACACCTACGGGTTCAGCCTTTCATAATTGTATCCACGAAAAGCAAATTCAAGGGTGGTGGTCCTTGTTTTGGGCACTTCCATGCATCCCTTCAGGGGTGCAAGGGGAACAGTCAATGCTCCCACACATCGGTCGGGCCGGAGACATACAGGAGCTCGGAGCATTTTCCACTTCAAGGGGTTCGGGTGGGACTCTGGGGGTGAAAGGCGTCACTGAAACTAACTTTGGCCAAGCTGGCACAACCTGCAGATGAGCCACCAGCGCCGAAACTCCAGCTGGCTGCGGTCGACCTCACAGGCTTTGGAAAGCTGAGGGCTGGGTCCATCTACGTTTGACCAATCGATTTGCTTGTTTTGAGGGAGCCTTTGGTGGACATGTATCATGGGATTTGTGTTCAACCATTGTGTTGGGAGATACCTTGATACATGTCTAAGCCAGATCTGCAGTACCAGGGTATAGCAGCACCATTAGGCCATTAGGCGAGTAGTAATCAAACTGCCAGAAGCGGATGGACTTAGCCCCAGAACAGCATTGTGCTGATGGTAGGTGAAACTTCTCTGAATCCGTAGATCCGAGGAGGGCCCGAGTGGCAAATTCAAGGCTCATGCAGCCGCCACCCTTATTGATGGCACCAGTGGCACTGTCTTCATCTCAGGCTGCCAAAGTTCGGCATACCTTCAGACGAAAGCCTTACGGGCTTCAAAAGGACAAAGCATAAAACAACAGCTTCGGAGTTCCTGTCTTCGGGCATGGTGTGTCAAGTAACAAAAAACACACACAAACACACACAAACACACACACACAGATTCTAGTCTACCTAGGCGGCTTACCATAAGTGAGCTGATTCAAAGGGAGACCAAAGACAATCCCAACAAACACCCCAAGAGTCCATTTGCACGGAGCAAATGCGGAGGCAAAAACAACATTGGCACACTTGGTTGAAATGCCCTGGGCTTTGGTTTACCGTTGGTTTCTCTTTGAACCAATTTCAAAAAAAGGGAATTCTTGGACAAGGTCTAAATGGACTCTCGGTGTCCACCAGATGGGGCTGTCCCAGACCAATCCCCGCCTGGCAGCATAGAGCGGTTACCCATAGCGCCACGCAGCGCTTGGACAGGTGCATCCGCATGAGGGGGAGGGGTCTGATAAACAAATGCTCTTACATTGTGTGGCCCCCCAAAAATAAATCAACAGGAGGCTACTGTAGCGGGAAAGAAGAGGACCCATGCGTTCCTGCCAGATTGGATGCGATCTTCGCGCCTGTCATGTTTCTCAGGGCACAACTGAATTCAGGCTAGCGCCTTATGAGGTATCAAGAGAATTTGCCGTGCCGAAATGACACCCCTAGCTGGCTGGACGAACATACGACGATGGGCATAAATTCACAATGACCTTCGTTCAGTTGTTCGCTCTCTGGCAAACGTGGCACCGTCAAAACTTCGAATCTGGGCCGTGGGCACGGTTCCTTCAATGGACTTTTCCATCATGGGAAATTTATGCAACCGCCAAAAATATGCAGCGCGTCCCGATGAATGTTAACTTCGGATCAATCCGAACAACCCTACTAGTCAAAGGAACACCCAAAGATAGATATTTTTCTTGAGCAAAAAGGGAAACCACGGTCCTCCAAAAGAATCCGAAGCTGACCTTAAGACTCCAAGCCATCCACCACACTTCGAACTGGCCGGACGCCCTGCTTCGAGGCAGCTCGCAAGCTCGAGCCAGTGGCAAGTGGGGTGCAGCAAGTGCGAGCATCCATGACATCCCAGAAGACAAATGGAACAAGGGTAATGGAAGAAGGGTTCCAACTTGAATTCAGACCAAACACCTTTACCGACCAATACGAGAAAACTCTTTTAGTTGAAGGTGATCATGAAGGACTATAGTTGGAACCTTGACGAATAGCTGAGGTCGCAACGAGCACCGCGGCGTGCGGCGGCTCCTGCAAAGCCTCAGGCGAAAATGGCCGGAGGAGCAATCCCTTCTTCCTAATGCTAAACAGTCCCCTAAAACTAAAACAGATTTTTGAAAATCCCGGATTCGGGAATACTACTTTTAGAATTTAGAATAGCCAATACTAAACCAATGCTAAAGTGGGTATTTTCCCGCCCGGTCCCAAATCCAGCCTTATTAGGGAGCCCTTGTTGCACCTTCAATCCTTCAAGCCAGATTTACAAAGTGGGGGCTTTTTGCAACTCTTAAAGCAAATGCATTCGCACACGCACACACACACACCCTTGTGCTGGAGGGGTTTAGCATTAGGGTCCGTGGTTCTTAGTATTAGGGTCTCCTTGCCTGGCCTGCCTCCCTGAAACGAAACAAAGGTGGTTTCCTCGGCTTGTGCTGGAGTGCTTTAGTATTGGGGTCCGTGTTTCTTTACTACGGCTGTACTACAAAGTTGCGACTTTCGAGCCGGAGCTCCGGGAGTACGTTTTCTTTACTACGGCTGTACTACAAAGTCTCTCTCCACACAGGGTTTTCCAAAAAACGAACCAGGGACCCCTAATGCTAAAACCGGCTTTTCCGGGGGGACCCGCTTCGTATTAGGGGGGGGGGGGTGTTTAGCATTAGGGGGAAGGGATTAACCGGCTTCACTGCAGCGAAGGGATGCTGTGCTTGGCGAAAGGGCTTGGTTCGCAAGGATTCTGGTGATGCTACAAGCCATGGGTCAAAACCCTGTACCCCCAGTGAAAATCCCAATCCCCACTAAAATAGACTAAAATGGGTGGTGCACCTACCCCAAAAATGGGCCATGTAGCATTGAAAGAGTCACTGCTGATGGTGATGCAGCCGCCAACTTCACCTGCATGAACGTTCCATGCAAAGTCTACAAAGCTCTGCTCTCCACCCGCAACTGTACACTCCCAATCATGAGAGTTGTTGAAGGCTCTCGTGAGGATGCTCAAGTATAGTAAATCTAGATTTCGATCAGGCGGAGCCCATTTGCATTTCCGAGGGACCCTTTCGACAAGCAAGTGCCAGGGTTACATTGGGGACACATCCGCCCCCCGCCCCAATTTGCTAGCACAACCTCTTGACTCCATCAACAAGCTACACATCCGGGACAACTACAATCTAGCAACTGGTCAAACAATGATTCGTGGAGAGCCTAACACTCCTGTAAAGAAGTCTCGCTTTGCAAATGGCAGATCTGCGTCCGACAAATAGTTGTGCATCCCCGTGTTAGAGGGAATTCTAAGACGACACCACGGGAAACAAACCCTGAAGATCTCGCTGACTGCTTGCGGCGTGTTCTCTCTGGACCATAGGGTCCCTAAGGATTTGGGGTTCTCCAGACAGAACAATGATGAGAGGGAATCTCCTTTCAAGGGATCCCTTTTTTGTTTTCATGCCGCACCTCTGCCCTTCCAGCCGCCCGAGCGAGGCTCTTCTAAGACTTCGCCCATCACCTCCTCCACCGGTAGCGCCTTGCAGAAGCAAAGGGATCCGGCATCACGTCAAGGGTATCACTCGTTGAACCAAACAAATGTTCAACCCTTTGAAAGCAGAGCAACCCTGCAGGCAAGGAAGTTAAGCACATAGCTCATCTGCTAGACTCAGCCCAGGGCTGCTTGAAGGCATCGAGCGCGCCGCCGGAAAGCCGATCTCAAGGGAGTCAACCTGAGAATCATTTTTGATTGCCCCATGGACGAGAAACCCGACCACATCTTCCAGCTTGGTGCCTGCTTGTACATTATGTTTGTCCTGACACGGCCGAGCCCACTTCAAAGTGGCTCTCACGTAAATGAAATTGATTGAGGTAGCAACGCATGTCAACATGACCAGGGTTCTGCAATTTTTGGCTTCCCGAATGATTGAAACCCAGGGAGTGCCCCCTGGAGAAAGCCAAGCACCCTGGTACGTCATGCTTGTTGCGGGAGGTACCGTATTGTACTAAGTCCAATCACACAGTGGACACATATTGGTTGTCTATATACCCGGAGGGGTCTATAAGTTGCAAAGGGTGCTCTGGCATGTGTTCAAATCGAAATTTGTGAGGCCTGCAAGCACTCAGTGGATGCTATGCGGCCAAGAAACAGCAGCAAGGAGCTTCGATGCAAGTTCCTGGTGAATGTCCTCCCAGAGCTCAAAAGGAGTGTCAACATTCAGGCTTCAATGTGGTTTCCCTTCAAAGCCCTAAAAGGTGGCCTTGAAACAAACACACACCGAGATTTGTGAACAACAACGTGCAGCCCGTTCCAAGTTCGTGGCAAGATAGAAAGCTTAAGCCATGACAGCTCTCGTGCTTTAGATAGTCTCATGGTGATAGATCTCATTCAGGAAGTTCTAAAAACACCCTCAAAAGTCTCTCCAAAGATACCCTCCAAAACAACACTAAATAAATCCCACACTGGGACCTGATGAAACACTTGCCAAGCCCTTCCGGAGGAACATGTGCCGTGGAATTCTGCAGCTGGGCAACGGAATGCAAGTGTCTTAACTCCCTGCAAGGATTTCATGAACTCAGCTGCCGGAATAACACATTCTGGATGCACGAAAGCCCTGGAAAACAAGAAGCTCAACATCCCCTTGTCAGCTTCCTTTAAGAAAACTCAAAAACTGTGAGCAATTCAGCACACTGGAACCTGGCCGGAGGTTGCAAAATCCTGCACGGAATCAGCAAAGAACACACCGCTCTGCTTCCCGGCAGGGTTCTTGGAAAGGTTTCAAAGTGGGAAATCACCTAAACGGGGTCTTCCTTGGCCACTCCCAACAAATGGAAAACCCTACAGAACGCCCCCAACAACTGGTTTTGACCATGTCCAACTATTCAAGTCCTGTCCAAAAAACGGTCATTGCAGGGTGTTGGCTACTACTTCTCTCGCTCGCATGTGACTCCGATCCTCTTCGTTGGTGCTGGTGATGCCAGCGTGCCAGCTGGGAATCGCGTGCCTGCCGACCCACAGCAGGACATGTCTGCCATGTTTCAGCACATACCCAGCACATTGCCAGCAACGAACTCTGGGTCATAGACATCTTCAAGATGGGCCAATTCCTCCTTGTTGGTTTCATCAACCCCCGTACGAACCGATAGAAAGGGAGTTGTGCCATCTACTTTCACACTGCTGTACACCACCAATGCTTCATTTCCAAAAAAGGGACAAGCATCTCAGCGTCAACATTAGTTGCACTGGATCAACACTGTCCCACCAAAACGTGACACTCGCATGCACCACCCAGAGAGCTTTGGAATTGCAAGGGCCCGCAACTAGATTAGCCTTTCAACAACGCCATCTTCAACAGAACCTTTTACGGGAATACGTAGGGAGCCGTTGTTTGAGGATGGCTTTTAGGTTCAACAGCTCAACTCTCCCGAGTTTCAGTCTACGCCCATCGAGCCTTGAAAGCGGCATGGCGGCAGCTCCATCACGCTTCGCTTTTGGGTAGTCGTTAAGACTGGAATGTCAAATCAACATACACACTATGTGCGAAGGACACAAGGCTGGCAACTAAACACATAACCAACAGAGAAGATCGCGCAGCGACTCGCAACAACATTGAACACATAGATTTCCTTTGCCCCCAAGACGTCAAAGAACATTCTCTTCAGAGGGCAGCAATGCAGAACTACGCTGACAATGTGATAGTGAATGGTCCACATTGCTGCGTTAAAGTTCAGGTCCCATGATGTGCAGAAGCCTGTGTCGATTGAGATGGCCAATGTTGACTCCAGGCTATATCCGGAGTATGAGCAGTTTGTACGAACCAGAGATGACATCCCTGTGTATACTGAAAAGCAGCCAGCTGATGCATACACCTGAGCGCAAGTCGAAGGATACAGTAGATCCCAATATGTCACATCAAGACATACAGGCGCAGACCTCCTGCACTTTGCATTCGCTGCGCAGCCAAACCCCCGGGCGATCACTTCCCGAAAAGGATGCCCCAAACTTGGGTTTATCAAGGTTTGCTGCCCTTTGAAGAGTTCTTTTCCCTCGGTTAGAGCCATTCGTCTACGCTTTATTTGCCGATGCCTGGAGCCAACTGCACGGGGCCGCATGAAAGCCTGGATGTGCCGCACTTGAACTGCCCAACCCTTGCCGTGTGAGCAAACAACTGTGGTTTTGATGCGGCCACCCAGGAAAAATAAACACAACCGAGGAACTGGAAAACTAAAACTAAACATGACAAAGCGCTGGATCCTGTGGCCAAGACGTATGAAGGGGCCTCAACCAGCAACCTGCGATGGGTTCCTTCCCTTCCTAGCCGAGCAGAATCCACTTCGCACCCGGGATGGCTGAATCCCTATCAATAGCGGCTGATAAGTCACCAAGTGGTGCGACATGGATTTTGTCCATCCACAGGCTGTGAAACCTGAAGCAACTGAGGTTCCCATGGGCTTCGGCCGATCGGATTCGGGCACGAAGTGAATGACACAAAGCGCTCGGGTCCAAGGGAACCAAAGGAAGCTAGTTCCTTTTTCAGGGCCCCTTTTGGGAAAAAACATTTGTATGTTCCTTAAGGAGATGACCATAAAGAATAACACATTGCTAGGAATGCCTTCAGACTCAACCCACACCTTTTGCGGAGCGGTGCTTATCATGCCTTGTGTGACTTGGTATCTTCCCTGTTCAACCGTTCATCTTCCGCTGCTGCGAAGCTGCACTGAGCTTTTCAGGTGGGCATAATCGGGTTGCAATGCGGCATCGCTGTTGCACCTACACCGCTTGACGTGCAGTGCAGCGCTCTCACTGAACAGGCGCAAGAGTGAGTCCACAAACTTTTAGGTTTTCAATGGCGGCTCAAGCAGCGCATAAGCCAAAGAGATTCACGCAAACTGTAAAGTTCTGCCCAATTGGTCATTTTCTGTTTATTGGGCGCGGAGGTACGATGTTTGGCTTGGTTCTAAGGGACGGCCAGCCAATTGTCAGGGCATGCGAGTCCTGGATCAAGACTAATATGGTCACAGCCAGTGAACTAACCAGGTAACACCTCCAGTGGCTTTGGGGAGAAAAAGGCACATTTGTGTGGTTGATGTTTTAAACGGAACCCTGGTTTTGAACAAAAATGGGGCACATAGCACCATGGGAGGTGTGAAGGAAGCAAGTAAGTTGCAAGCTAGAACTAACTCACCCAATCATTGACCAAATCACTTCTCTGACTGAGCAACCAATTAATGACCCACCCAACCCACCAATCCCAAACCACCCAGCCCACCAACCCCAAACCAGCCAGCCAACCGACCGACCAACAAATAAACTAAATTGCAAACCAATCAACTGACAATCAGTTCACTTTCAAGCCAACTCACCCGCCAACGTCAGATGTTCTTCCTAGGATCCGCATGCGTCTCATCCGCACCCCCTGGTGCCAACCATCAAATCAAATGCAGCCCACGTGATGCAATCAACCCAGGCAAAAGAGAAGGGGATACGAGTTGCGCGGCACTGTCCGCAAGCGTGGCCGAATTCGCAAACGCGCCATGCGCATCACCGAATCCGGCTCGGATCAACAGCAGATCTTGCAGCGAAGCCAAGTCCCAGTCGAGTCTCTGAGCCCCAATAAATTCTGGGATGTGGAAACCTACAGGAAAACACTGCAGGTTTTACTGAATCTACTTCAGAACAGCTAAACAACCTACAATCTCGCTGCAATCTCAGGTGCTTTTTTCAGGCTTGGCATCAGAGCAAGATCTCGATTTCGGAAGCGTAGAGTCACAGCAGTGAGGTGTTGATTTTCCAAAGATCAAGCTGCCATGACCAGCCCTTGAGGCGAAGACTCGCTCAACGAAGCAGACAAGCTGATCCTCTAAGCCTCCGACAGCCATGAATTAACTGGCGAGGCTGGATGCAGCCCACCTTTAAGCAGCGTGGGGAGCAACATGCAATTCAGTTCATACTCTCAATAGCTTACACCAGGATGAAACTAGATGGGCACGTCAAAAACAATTCCCTCTGGGTGGAAATTCAATAACCAACGTGGGATGTGAGAATTGTGCTGTCTACTTTCATCCAACTAGATGTTACTCCGACATGTTGCCTGATTGAAGAGTCTACCTTCAAAGCCAAGTGCAGCATGTGCAAAAGGATAAACGATGAGTGATCTTCAACCCAAGCGATTGCTGAGTGGTCTTCCCAGCAAATCAGGGGGGATTGCTGTTTCATTTGAGAAGCACCCAAAACCTATGTTTGTTCAATTCGCAAAGGCTATTGAAACAGGCTTTCCACATGCCCATGAAACCAGGTAGTATAAACCCCTCACTCAGTGGGGAGGTGTTTGATTACGTCAAGAGAGATGTCCATCCAGCGATGCCCTGCTTCAAACATCAGCAATTCCACTTCTTCAGTCTGCCCTCGCAAGAAATCAAGCAAATCCCAGAGGCAACCAGACAAGTACGACCACACACACGCACACAAAGCAAACCCTGTTGGAAACCAGAGGAAAAAACAGTCACCATTGGCTTTGCAGGTGGCGCTCGCCACTCACCGCATGACGCTCCCCTCGCCAACAGAGATCAAACTTGCGCCCAGCAAACGCGCGCAAGCGCAGGCGCCCTCAATGCCTGCGCGCGGACAGCAACTAGGGCACTGACAACACCTCTAACAAGACATACTGCGACCTGGGCAATCTGTCAGAGCCAACTGATCATGTATAAATATCCTGTTGCCCGTCAGCAAGCACGGGCCAACATAAGTGATGACCTCTGACATGCAGAACAAGTGAGCTGGCAAGCAAACAGGCAAGCAAGCAGCGAGCAAGCAAGTTAACTCGCTTGCTACAACATGACAAAGGCAAGCACTGGAGCAGGTTTGCAGAAACAGCTTCGTGGGAGTCCAACAAACTAGTTCCGCCTTTAGCGACGCTTTAAACTATGAAACCGACCAAGTGTAGGGCGGGCTCTCCCATTTCCACAACATCACATCCACTAGATCTCCAAAGCCTTCGGAACATTCGAAGGCGACAAGACATATACGCACATTGCCCCTCCCAGCGCTAGGCAAGCCACTGTAGGCAACCGAGTTGCTTACCAGGCTTCAAGTGATGGTTTCCCCCTCACTATGACTTGCTATGGCCTGGGAGCACTGGGCTATGCAAGAACACAAACTGTCCGTGGGCAAATTTCCAGGTCCCAGATCGAGTCGGGAATATTACCAGCTGGATTTCCGGTAATCTATGGCTCCACTGGGTGTCATACACCCCTTGGTTAAAGCAAAAAGGAAACCAACCATTGGTCTTTTGAGAGGTCCTCTTTGAGAAACACCCACAGTGGCCGCTCTCTGATGCGCTCATTTCGGCTCGCGAGGTGTCTCTCTCTGCCAGGGACGGCCATCTTTCGTACTCACAGCACCTGGCGGGAAGCAAACAAACCAATCCGGTACACCTGCAAGGACATGAACATGTAAGTCTGGCTCAACGTTAAACAAGTGGGGTTATGAAGGTGTTAGTCTTTGTTTTCGTATACAAAGGTGCGATTATGGGTACCATTTTGTGAGCCACAGCCATGTAAGGTGAACCTTTTGGGCATGCAAAATGGACCAAGGTCCATGTTGGCAAGTCGTTCAGCTGAAGCCACTCTGACCGCTTGCGATGGGTGTTGGACCCTGACACCTGACAGACGGACGGAACTCCGGCTGAAGCATCGTTGCTATGGGGGGCGTTGCGTCGACCAAAGATGAGGCCAAATCCAAAGCTTGTTCCCATGGCCCAGTGTCGTGAGGACTTGTACCGGGTGAGACCCGTGCGAAAGAGTTGTTTGACAAAAGAAACATGTGGACTCCACGAAAGCCAAAGGATCAAGACCCTTCCTGATTCAAAGCCGCGAGCAATAACAAGAACTGGCTAATGCTTTCAAGCCTGCAGCAAATCCAGGCGCCACGGTGGCTTCCGCTGGTTCCCTACTAGTTGGCTATAGATTATGCTGGTAACAGCTGGAAGCACTGAGGGATTTCGACGTTGAACGAGATGCCCAGCACACAACTTCTTAAGACTCTTGTGTGCTCTCGTTGAAGCTCTGTCAACACTCGCCCAAACCAAAGACATGGGTCCCTGGAGTTTCATTACACCCTGTTTGACTGGGTTACAGGACTCACTGGCGTTTGGCTATGACGAAAAGGGAACCACCTGAAAGGTAATTGGTGGACATCTGAGTTTTGATGTCCACCAAGGGGCCGACACCCATTTATGAAGGTCCGCAAGTTGGGAAAAGGGACTCAAACAATCGCCCATCCAAAAGCGCCTCACGTTTCACCTCCAGAAAGTCTCTTCGCCTCGCCTCAGCCAAAACCCAATCCCGCCTGTTTCGGCACGGCCGTACGAAGCCACAAGCATGCATGACAACAAATGACGCGAACACCTGACCAGAAGGAGCCCATTTGGCATATGGCACGAGCTTCACGCTCTTCGGTCTGGATGCGAGGTATTTTCCTGTGTGCTGCACGCACGCACAGAATGATTCGCTT